GTTCTATATGCTATTCACAAGAGACTCAACTTCAAAGTTTAAGACACAAAAAGACTCAAAATGAGGGGATAGGAAAAGATATTTCATACAACAGAAACGGTAAGAAAGTGGGGGTAACACTCACATCAGACATAATAAACTTTAAAACAAAGGCTATAACAAAAGATGAAGAAGGGCATTATACAATGATAACTGTATACAATACAAAAAGATATTACACTCAACACATATGCACCCAATACACAAGTAGCTAAATACCTAAAGAAAATACAAACAGACACAAAGAGAAAATGACACTAATAAAATAATAGTAGGGTACTTCAACACCCCACTTACATCAATGTACAGTCAATTATGCAATAGTGGTCTAAAATGAAACGAAGACCACCCGGGCTTATTAGATAGCTACAGGACATTACATTCAAAACCAGCAGAATATACATTGTTTTCAAGTGCACATGGAATGCTCTCCAGAATAGATCACTTGCTAGGCCACAAAACAACTCTTAACAAATTTTTTAAAGGATAGAAATTATTTTATCAAGTATTCTTTCTGACCACAATGGTATGAAACTAGAAATCAACTACAAAAAGAAAAACAGGAAAGGACAAACAGGTGGAAACTAAACAACATTCTACTTAAAACAAAAACAAACAAACAAAAAAACAGGTCAATGAAGAAACCAAGGAGGAAATCAGAAAATACCTTGAGACAAATGAAAATAGAAACACTATACTCCAAAAGCTATGCAATGCAACAAAAGCAGTTCTAAGAGGGAAGTTTATAGCAATACAGGCCTTTCTCAAGAAACAACAACAAAAAGCCCACCACCACCAACAAAAGAAACAAGAAAAATCTCAAATTAATAACATAATTTACCACCTAACAGAATTAGAAGAAGAAGAGCAAAGCCTCAAGTCAGCAGAAGGAAGGAAATGATAAAGATCAGAGGACATTTTAAAAAGAATAAAAACAAAACCAAAAATAAAACTATAGAAAAAATAAGTGAAACCAAGAGCTGGTTTTTTGAAAAGATAAACAAAATTGATAACCCCTCAGTCAGGCTCATCAAGAAGAAAAAAGGACCCAAATTAACAAAATAGGAAATGAAAGAGGAGAAATAACAACCAACACCAGAGAAACACAAAAAATCATAAGAGAATATTATGAACATTTATATGCCAACAAATTGGGTAATGCAGAAGAAAGAACAAATTTCTAGAAACACACAACTTACCAAGACTGAATCAAGAAACAGCAGACAATACAAGAAAAGGAAATTATAGACCATTATCTTTGATGAATATAGATGCAAAAATCCTTAACAAAATATTAACAAATTGAATCCAATAACACATAAAAAAGGATCATAATCCATGATCAAGTTGGATTTATTCCAGGAATGCAAGTATGGTTCAACACACACAAATCAATGTGATACACCACACTACCAAAAAGAAAGACAAAAATCACATGATCAGCCCCGCAGATGCTGAAAAAACATCTGACAAAATTCAACATCCATTCATCATAAAAACTCTCATCAGAGTAGGTATAGAGGAAACATATCTCAACATAATAATATGGGCCATATATGACAAACACATAGCTAATATCATACACAATGGTGAAAAGACTAAAGTCTTTCCTGTAAACTGAGAAACGAGAAAAGGATCCCCATTCTTACCACTTCTATTTAACATAGTATTGGAAGTTCTAGCCACAATAATCAGACAAGAAAAAGAAATAAAAGCCAACCAAATTGGAAGGTAAGAAGTGAAACTGTCACTATTTGCAGATGATATGATACTTTATATAAAAAACCCTAAAGTTTCCACCCCAAAACTATTACAATAAATGAATTCAGTACAGTTGCAAGATACAGGATTCATATATGGAAACTGGTTGCTTTTCTATACACTAGTAATGAACTATCAGAAAGAGAAAACACAAAAAAGAAATCCCATCTAAAATTGCATCAAAAAGAATAAAATACCTAGGAATAAACTTAGCTAAAGAGATGAAATACCTTTACTCTGAAGGAAATTAAAGATGATAGAGAGAAATGGAAAGATACCCTGGGCTTTTCTTGGATTGGAAAAATTAACATTGTTAAAATGGCGATACTACCCAGAGCAATCTAAGATGCAATCCCTATCAAAATACTCAGGATTTTTTCACAGAATTAAAACAAATAATCCTAAAATTCATATGGAATCAAAGACCCTGAATTTCCAAAGCAATCTTAAAGAAAAAGACAAAGCTGGAGGTATCACCCTCTCAAACTTCAGAATACATCACAAAGTTACAGTAATCAAAAGTCTGATACTAGTACAAAAATAGACACATAGACAATAGATCAATGGGACAGAACAGAGAGTTCAGAAATAAACCCATACACCTGCAGTCAATTAATCTACGACAAAGAAGGCAATAAGATACAATGGAGAAAAGACAGTCTTCAAGAAATGGTGTTAGGAAAACTGGATAGCTACATGTAAAACAATGAGATTAGAACATTGCACCACACCATATACAAAAATAAATGCAAAATGGATTAAAGATCTAAATGTAAGACCTGAAACTATAAAACTCCTAGAAAAGAATATAGACATACTGCTATGATTTAAGTCAAAGAGTATTTTTTTGTATCTGTCTCCTAAGGCAAAACAAGTAAAAGCAAAAATAACCAAACAGGACCTAATTAAACTCAAAAAGTTTTTGCACAGCAAAGGAAACCATCAACAAAGTGAAATCTACATAATGGGAAAAAATATTTGCAAATGATAGGACCAACAAGGGATTAATATCCAAAATATATAAATAGCTCATACAACTCAGTATCAAAAAAGCAAACAACCCAATCAAAAAATGGGCAGAAGATCTGAATAGACATTTTTTCAAAAAAAGACATACAGATGGCTAAAAGGTACATGAAAAGATGCTCAATATCGCTAGTCATTACAGAAATGCAAATCAAAAGCACAATGAGATATAACTTTGCACCTGTCAGAAGAGCTGTCATCAAAAAGCCTACAAATAACAAATGTTGGTGAGGATGTGGAGAAAAGGGAACCTTTGTACACCATTGGTGGGAATATAAATTGTGTAGCCACTATGGAAAATGGTACAGACTTTTTTCATAAAACTAAAAACAGAACTACCATATGATCCAACAATTCCACTCATGGGTGTATATCCAGAAAAAATGAAAACACTAATTCAAAAAGATACATGCACCCCATTGTTCATAGCAGCACTATTTCAAATAGCCAAGACATGGAAGCAATCCAAGTGTTCATCAACAGCTGAATGACTAAAGAGGATGTGGTGCATATATATACAATGGAATATTACTCATCCATAAAAAAGAATAAGATTCTGCCATTTGTAGCAACATAGATGGACCCAGAGAATATTATGCTTACTAAAATAACTCCAAAAAAGATAGAGGGGGAGGGTACAACTCAAGTGATACAGCGCATGCTTAGCATGCACAAAGTCCTGGGTTCAATCCCCGGTACCTCCCCTAACAACAAGTAAGTAAGTTAACCTAATTACCTCCCCACCAAATTAAAAAAAAAAAAAGATACTGTTTGATATCATGTACATGCAGAATCTAAAATTTTTTTAAATGAATAAAAGCAGAAACAGACTCACAGATATAGAAAACAAACTAGTGGTTACTGGTGGAAAGAGGAAAGAGGGGAGGGGCAACTTAGGGGTATGGAATTAAGAGATTAAAAACTACTATGTATAAAATAAATAAGCAACAAGGATATACTGTATTGTACAGGGAATTATACACATTATCTTTTAATAACTTTCATTGGAGTATAATCTGTAAAAATATTGAAATCACTATGTTCTATACCTAAAACAACATATTGTAAATCAACTATACTTCAAGTTTAAAAATGTATTAAAAACCAAATAAATAAACAAGCAAATGCTGTAAAAAGCAACCACAATTACACAGTCTTTAAAATACAACGGTAGATCCACTTCAAAATTATTTTTTAAGTTACAGCAAATGTTTTTTTTCCTTAAGTCGTTCTTTTGGTTCACTTAAGGCTATTTTTCCAACCAATTCTACTGCTGTGACCTATGAAGTCTCATCCCAAGTTCTTACTCTATTCATTTTCTATCAAAATCAAACAGTAAAGAATAAAAGGACTCCAGGAATAAAAGGTGGAATTTGGCAGCAACACTAGGGAATTTTCAATACTTACTGCCCTTTCCCACTTTTTTTTTTGGTGGTGGCAGAGGGTGGTGGAAAGGGAACTCCGAAGCATCCTTCTAGAACTGCTTCTTTTATTAATATGGTGCTCTATTCTCTGGACCCTCAGTTATACTACTGCCGTACATATTTAGCACCTCCAGTAAGCACAAACTATTACTGATTTTTTTTTGGCAGGGGGGAATTAGGTTTATTTATTTAGTTATTTATTTTAATGGAGGTGCTGGGGATTGAAGCCAGGACCTCCTGCATCCTAAGCATGTACTCTTAACTACTGATCTATACCCTCCCCCCATTTCTGATTATTAATATCAATTTATCTACAATACCTATAATATTTAAATCTTGACACCTAAGGAAACAGCATAATATTATCCTATATTGTTACTAAAGTCAAACAGGTAAATCTATTTTTCAAAAGTCTACACACAGATTTTGAATTAAACCTAGATAGCCTATCATCTCCTAAGGTCTGAAAGCAGTATTAAACCTTTTTTTAATCCATATTCTCTTCTGATAAACATAAATATCTCCTGCCTACTGTTAACATTATAAACTATAATAATATTGAGGATGTTCTTTTTCAAATCACAAAGCGCTCCAGGGTTCTGAAACTTGTCCTGGTTGAGAACCACTGTATTAAAGATGAAGACTTATTAACAACTTTTTAAAATATCATATTTCTAGATGTTTTCAATGAGCCATAACTACATGAGAGGAAAAATATAAATTGAGAAAACATAAAAAGAATCAACTTACACATATAACATGTTTGTATCCAAGTCAATGCAAACAACATCTTGTGGTGGGTCATGAAGATCAAAATACCTTGAGTCAACTCCAACTATAAACGGAAAAGGTGCACTCAGCACTGCCGCCAGTGAAAGAGGACAAAGGGGAATATATGGGCATTGCCACTGAAATGGAAAGATCATCTGGGGAGAAAGTTTTAAAAAATTAACCAGATTTTAAATTTGCAATGAGAATTATGTAATTAACTAATATTACTGAAAGGGACCATTAAAAAGCAGTTAAGTGAGTTTCTTTTACCTTAAACTTCATTCCAAAAGTTAAATGACTATAAAATACCACTAGGCAATACCATTAACCAATGGGAAAAAAATCTCCAAGTGTGACAATGATCACAATCACAATGAAAACGCTAATAGCTCTTTGCATGTTACTTGTTGTAATGCCTAGAGAAAATCCACGTTCCCACTTTATGGAGAGAGTCAAAGAAGAGAGAAAATTACCCAAAATATTATAAAACAAACTCATGATCTTTAACTCTTACGCATTTTATCCACCGACTAATCCTCAAAATAACCTTTGACTAAAATCCAAGGAAGAGCACCAAGAACTTTAAAAAATTTAAAATGACTCTCTTGGGAACAGTAATAGTCAAATGAAAATTTCAACAAAAAGATTTCCTAACTGTCCAAATAAACATAAAATGATCCAACTTCAGTGAAGCTTGGCGTCTTAAAAATATTAGTCAATATAAAACATACCTCAACAATCTTTACTAGCTTTCCTTTATAAAGCTAACTAACTAACTAACTAACTAAATAAACCTAATTATATCACTGTGGTCTTCCCTCCCCCCCCAAAAAAGAAAGAAAAAGACAAGTTTTGACAAGTAAAAAAAAAAATTTAAATAATCAGCTAACATTAAAAATTTAATTATTGATGGTAAAATTTTTTCTCTACTATAAAAATCCTTGCTATTTTTCAAAGTCTAGTCCAATTATGACCTTACCCATCATCACTCATCCCAAATAACTGCCTACAGAATTTACAACCTCTGCCATTTATTCCAGATGGTTATACAAAATTGGAATTCTGTCTTGTCATTTATTTACTTATCAGTATTTGAGCACTTAATATGTACCAAGCACTGTTCTAGATGATGGGGTCATAACCACAAATAAAACAAAGATTCCAGTCCTCATGAGGTTTATATTGTAGCATAGAGTCAGCAAACTTTCTGTAAAAGAGAGTAAATATTTTATGCCTTGCAAGCCATATTATCTCTGCCAGAAATATTTAACTCTGTTTTCATTTATGAAAGCCGTCATAGGCAATATGTAAATAAATGGCCTATGTTCCAGTAAAATTGTGTTTACAAAAACAAGCGGCAGCCGGGAATTGACTCACAGGCCATAGTTTGCCAAAACCTGGTCTAGAAGAAAAAGACTGAAAATAAACAGAAGACATAATAAATAAAATACACACCATGTGAGAGAGCACTAAGCGCTATGGAAAAAAGGAAAAGTAAAGCCAAGTACAAGAGATTAAAGTTGAGAACAGGAGAGAAAGCAAGTGACGCTGAGCTGGAACCTGAAGGAGGTGAGGGAGTTAGTCAAGGGGACATCTAAGCGTGGAGCACTTAGAAGAAAAGGAACAGATAGAGCAAAGGTCTTAAGGTGTGAGGTGTGCCTAATATGTTACACGGGCAGCAAGGCCACCGTGGCTGTAGCAGAGTGAGCAAGGGGGAGAGAAGTAGAAAATGAGATCAGACAGAAGATGGACAGAACTACTCGCAAAGGACCTTAACAACTCAAGATTTCCTTCAGTGAAAACTATGTTTCATTCAGCAAAAAGGTTACGTTACACCTCCGACTACGTAAGAAATTTCAGAACAAAACTGTCTACCAACTAAATGATACTTGTCTTCATCTTTGACTTTTGGAACACAGTCTTAAATAGGGTCAATTTTACAAAAATATTCATTGTTTCCATTAATTTTTACTATGGGGCTCCATTAAATCTTCGATATTCTTAGCTTTGTCAAATCATTCTCCTTCTTCTATTTTTTTTAACCGTGCCTGCCAGGGTGAGGGGCATTTTCAGCCCCCACAGGGCGAGGTGGTCCCCACGGCTCCCAAAGGTGTGCCAGGCTGCCACCCTCCAAATCATTCTCCTCTTCAGGCAGTGTTCCAACATTCATTACATACATTTCATGCCATCTTGCATTTTAATAAGGCTTCCAATTTCACTTTCAAGAGAGTGGGCCACAAAGATTCAGACAGAGGGGCATAGATAAACACTAAACTTTTAAAGGAAGGAGTGGGAACTTTATAAAACCGGTCAGTCCATTAACAAATATTTTCATGTTGTAACAGCTTTTGCTGACACATGCAACTGTGGAGGCTTGGAAAACTGGTATGTAATTAGCATTTTTGCCCCCTATAAACCATCTCAAATGTTTATTACTATTTTCAGTCCTAGCAGCATTTCCCTGACCAGATTAAGATCTTGGAGGCTATCCTATTTGTTAATTTAACAAGTATTTATTGAATGTTTACTCCACGCTCTTTAACTGTGACAAGTGCTGAGGACACAGGAGTGAAAGAGACTTAGATCATTATTTCCGTAACAGTTACATTCTTAAAATGGAGAAAGGAAGAGAAGAGAATCAACTATTTTAAATTAAACTAATAATGGAAAATAGGGTTAGAAAAATGAAACATCCAAAATTCTATACTATGACCTTTAAAGCCCTATCTGAGCAGACCTCTTTCTAATTGCAATGGGAAGCCATCAAAAAGGGTTTAAAACAGGGGAGGACTTGATGTAACTTTTATTTGTTTACACAATAACTAAGCATTTGTACATTATCCAATTTCACAATCATCTAGATTTTCCCATGTTATTGGCTTGCAATGATTAAAAGTTATAATTGGGAGAAATTAGTTATGTAATTCATGTATATAATTTTAGGGCAACTGAAATTGGCCAGAGCCTCTCATTTAATATAAGCTTCATTCACAAGTTTTATTATTATGTAATCATATAGATTCTCTGAACAACTCTAAAATATGAAAAATTAGAAACTGACATTTTCTCTCAAATAAAAATCACTTTTCCTTTTAAGTATTTCTCTTTGCCACCCTATTACATTTATGTAACTTCTACTGGTAATTTCAGAGCTGATTTCATTTAAGGAAATTTCCCTTTAAAGTAATAATCCTGTCAAGAATTTTGTACTAAAATGAAAATTCTATACTTACAGCTACAACAGCTTCGGCTACTCCAGTCAACACAGCTGGCCTGAGAGAATGTAGCAAAATTTTACACTCAAGTAAAACAAAGAGCAGCAGTGTTGCACAATTCTCAGGACCCAAATTCATTAACAAGGTGCTAAAGTTGGCTCCACTAGAAAAATAGAGAAAAAGAGGAATTATGAACTATTTCTCTAAAATGTGTTAAGATTTGTTTATTAAATTATTTCCTACATATTAACAATTTAGAATCTAATATTAATTTCAAGTTCTCATTTAGTTATCACTGAAAAGGAGCAAATGCAATGAGATGGTATAAGAGAATGATTCAAACTCATTCTTTGATAACAAAGGGGCATTTATCAAGAAAGATTTTCCCAAAGAACAACCATTTGAGCTGAGCTCAAAAGAAAGGATGTAGGGGTTGGAGGCACAGACAATATATGCAAATGTCCTGAGGCAAGAAAAAGCAACTGTCATGTTCAAGAAACTGAAATAAATCTATTGTGACTAAAGTATAGGGGGAGGGAGTGAACACAACAAGAGAGTATACCTGAAATAAAAATGATATTTGCATTCTCAAACATTTATACTTGCATTCTCAAAAGGACACACTGGCTACAGTGTGGAAAAAACTGAAAGAGTGCAAGGTTACTAACTAAAAGGTTAACAATGAAGTAGTCCAGGTGACAGATCATGTTAGTCTGGACTAGTGATGCAGATGAAAAGAAGCTAACAGATCTGAGACTTTTTGGAGGTAAAATCAGTTCACTTTGAACATTTAGTTATTAACTGGATATGGGAGGAGAGAGGAGAGGAAGAGGAAGGTATTCCCTACATCCAATATTGTTAACTCTCTTAAGTGTTCCATTTTAAAACGGTGGATGGCCTTGCCATCCACCCAGCTATCAGTTTGAAACATTAAGGCTATGCTTGCACAACTGTAAAAATTACACAACTGTATTACCCGAACCCTTAAAATGTTTTAAAGCATTCTGCTCCAAGTGAATAAATATATCATTTTAGATACTATTAATTACCTTAGTGGTAAAGGTGTAGAAACTGGCTGTGACAATATTAACGCATCATGGACTGATAGCTTAAAAAAACAAAATTAATTAATTAATTAAACAAGCCAATTCTGAAACCTAAATATTTAGATCAAGGGTAAAATGGAAAATAGTTTAATATGCAGACTGATACAGTTTTGGAAACATGTACTAAAATATAGAACAATAGCTGTATTTACTTAGAGGTCCTGAATTAGTTCTTTTTAATTAAGTGGTTAATTGAACTGAATTCTGATTCAATTAATTGGTTAAAATACAATTGTTTAAAAATTATGGAGTAACTGCCTTTTAAAGCCTCAAATTTATTTACTCTATATTTGGAAACTGCTTAACATATATTAATACTTTGCTGAACTGAAGAACATTTAAAATTAACAGTATTTGATTTAATGCTACCATATCACATATAATGTTGATAACCATCTTAGCAAAAATTTTAAAATACCTTGCTTCTATAGATCAGTGCTACTCAAAGGGCGAGGCTATAGACTGTTAGTGGTCTAGGAACAGACAGTATATACATAGAGAGTGAGCCATTTAGAAACTTTTATGGCAGTGTAACTCTGCTCTCACATCCAAGTACACCATCAGTAAACTCACGTCACTGGACAGGTTATAGACCTGTTCATGTCTATACGGATCTCACATGGTAAGCTACATATGTGACAAGCTGTATATTTATATAGGTCTGCCACTGACTAGAAATAAAAAGAAACTGGTCCTTTAAAACAGATAGTTTGAAGAGCGCTATTACAGACTACTTCACTTTCACCCTCCAACCATAATCCATTTCATATCTAATATTTATTAAATACTCCAATATTAAAAACATGCCATAACCTAAGTCTGGGTTTTACATTATTAAAATCAGGTACATAAAGGTCACACATGGACCAATGATGTCATGAACCAAGTATTATAATTACTGCAATTCTGAACATCCAAAATTTAAAAAAAAAAAGTAAAAAGGATGTTCATTGAAGACATAAAATACAGGAAATGCAAGGACTTTATGAGTGCCTATTGCTCCACCTTAAACCCAAAGGGCCACAGAATCCACCCTGCAGTGATCGGAATGAATTTATGCAGCGCTTCCCTCAAATATACTCTTTTTTGATTACCTGTACCAGGATTCTTGGTCTTTGTGGTGAAGGAAAAGGGATGTTTTGCATAAAATGTGAAATGTGCCTAGAAAAAATTTTAATATAAAGATAATTACTTTTCTAGAATAGAAATAAATAGCTTCACAGATTTTTTAACAAATCTTACATATTATATATCACCCCAGATCTGACAAACTCACCTAAAACTTAAGCTAAATAAACAAATGTACTTGGTGTAAATACATGTACTCACTCCACTCAACTTCTGAGATGCACTGTACTTCCTGATTAAAAGTCCATACTTATATACCCTATTATCATCAAGAAAATAAAGAGTAACATGAATAGTTTCCATGAAAGAAGATAATATTTATTGCCCTGGTTATCAGTACCAGTATGGGGAGTAACTAATAGTGATATAATGAATCAAAAGTAATACAGAATTTAATCTTACTAGTTAATATTAAAATAATATAGTTCTTTTACTATAACTTTGAGCAAACCACTTGTCCTATTTCTCCACCTATTAATAATACTTCTTAAGTTTTGAGCTCTTAGAATCCACTAACATGCAAAGTATTAGTTACTTCAACTGAAAAAAAAAATCACATACACTCATTCTATTTTCACAGACTATTTACAGAACCTTACTTTTTCAAAGGCTGCTAATTTATCAACATTAAATTTACTTCTAACAACTTTTAATCTGACCACTGAAAGTTAAATCTAGAATTATGAACCATTAGACTGGCATTCCAGTAATACAACATGAAAGCTGAAACCATACTGCTATGCCAAATTGTGTAAGTTTATGCACAACACTTTACTATTTTTTAAAGTTGATTTTTCAGCAGCATTATTTTAAAACCTACAGATAACTGCCCCTGTCTATTCCACTAAACTAGTACACTTTACTGATATTCTTTCTGCTATAATGTGAAATTTTGGAAATTATAAGAAAAGTCTGTATGTTTATGCATACTATAACATGTTTCCACAAAGCTCCTAACTTGGTTTTTTAGCAGGGTACATAAGTTATTTACTATAATAATCAAATCAATGTGCCACTAGAAGTCAGAAAAGATGTGGTTTTAAAGAGACAGTGGATCCAACATACGTTTCTTGCTTATAAAATGTAATGAAGGAAATCACAAATCAAAGGGAAAACATCCAGAATTCTATCAATGCCAAAACCAAAGCTTCACTTTTAATATAAATAGACTCACCCTTATTAATTCCTACATCAGTTTAGAAATGTTTTAACTTGGAACATTTGGATGTTTGGGGTGGGGTGGGGTGGGTGTGTGTATTAACAGTCACTTTTCTCTTAGTTATTCAAGAATGAATAGGAAGAACACACAAAATACAATATTATATATAAGTTCTTTTCTCAGCTGAACTCCCAGAAGATGATTATATGGTCATCCTCACTACCAGTCCTCAATTTTAAATTCAGAGTCAATGACTAAGGTGAAGAAGGGAGCAAGTAAAAAGTAGGATGACTTTTATGCTCCTTTCCATTCAACTCTGACGCTTCCAGTCAGGGAAACAATGAAATGTGTATAAACACATCCAATTTTTCCACCAGACATCCCTCAAGAGTCATTATACATACTTTTCAATGGGAAGAGGATGTGGTCCAGACACAGAAAGTTTGTAGATAAACATGAGAAATTTTCTAAAAGCTTCAAAAAAGGGCCAGTGTGAGAGTAAACAAATGCATTTGTTTGAATTGATGGATTTGGAGACCACTTTTCTCTCCACAGGTGTCAGCAGGCCCAGTTGCACAAGCTGTTTCTCTGTGAGAAGTTCTCGAGAGTAAGGTTCATAAAATTGGATGGCAGCTCCATATACCTACAGAGAGTAAAAGTATTGTTAAAAAAATATGAGTTTGTTTTTAAGAATTAATTTCTCTTTTTCTCTTGTTCCAAAAGAAATATTTGCGTAGAGTACATATGATAGATAAATGGGGAAAAAAATCTCAAACATTGCTGATGGGAATATAAAATGGTACAGCTACTGTGGAAAACAGTTTGGCAGTTCCTCCAAAAGTTAAACAAACAATTACCATATGATCCAGCAATTCCACTCCTACAGATATACCAAAAAGAACGGAAAACAGGGACTTAAACAAATATCTGTATGTCAATGTTTATAGCAGCATTATTCACAATAATGGAAAGATTCAAACAATCCAAATGTCCATCAACAGATGAATGGATAAGCAAAATGTAATACAGGAGTCCCTCAGTATTTGAGGGGGATTAATTCCAGAACCCCCAGTGGATACCAAAATCCACGAATGCTCAAGTCCCTTATAATATAATGTAGTACAATCGGCCCTCCTTATCCACAGGTTCTGCATCCAAGGATTCAGGGGGCTGACTGTATATATATGAGAAGGAATGTTATTCATCATTAACAAGGAATAAAATTCTGATAAATACTGCAACATGGATGAACCATGACAACATTATGCTAAGTGAAATAAGCCAGACACAAAAGGACAAATATTATATGATTTCATTTATCTGAGCTACCTAGAATAGATATATTGGTAGAGAAAGATAGAAAAGGTTACCAAGACTTAGGGTAAGGGTGAAGGAAGCTTCTGTTTACAGTGATGAAAAAGTTCTGGAGATAGATAAGTATACTTTTATAAATCTTATAACTATTTAGTCACTATATATGTGTGTATATAAATCTGCATATATATCATATATATCATATCAACCCTTGTCTTTATAAAGACAACACTCCCAGAGACAATTATTTCAAAGTGATCTCAGAGATTTTTAAAACAAGCAATATGACAAAACCATCTCAATAAGGCTTTGTTGTTCTCTACTGGTCAAAGTACATTTGGTAACTCTTAAATGTTTGAAAATCATAAAATACTCGTTTATATTTATTGCTTTCAATGAGAGAAACTATAAATGATCATGAAGCTAAAGAGGTAGCTTAGTTGTAAGCAATCCAGTTAATATAATATTGGAATTCATTTGTTGAGTATTTTACTATGTTCCAGACACTGTACTAGACACTTAACCTTCATTATCATCTTTAATACAGTGGCTATAAACTTGTAGACTGTAGAATAAGGACACAGATGTATTTTCATTTGTTCCATAAGAGTTAGCCTTGGTTAGTTATACTTTTCAATAAAACTGATTATTCTATCAAACTTCCTAAGAAACTCTTTAATTTTTAAATTTCTACTAGATCTGAGTTTTATTTACTTTTTATTTCCTAATGTTGTTTTTTTCGCCATCTCTTTTTCACTCTAAATTATCATTCTATGTCATTATCACTACTTTACACATGTTTTGAATTTCTAGCTATTACAAATAAAGTATACAAATACACACGTCTTTTGAAGGATATATAAATGCCTCTCTCTTGGAATATGCTCAGGAGTATAACTGCTGAGCCACAGGGTTGTTTCTTTTTCTTGCTGATAATGCAGCAGTTCTTTAAATATTCTGAAATATAAACCCCTATGGAACACATACAGTGTCACATTACTTTCTCCCGTCTGGAGTCTGCTTTTTCAACTTCTTATTGGTATCTTTGAATGAACACATGTTCTTAATTCCAATGAGGTCCTACTATTCATCTTTTCTTTTATGGCTAGTGCTTTCTGCATATTGTTTAAACTATCTTTGCTAATTCTGTCAATTTTAACGTTACTTATCTTCTTACTCTCACTGTCGTAGCTCAGAAATTAGCCATCAATTAATAGTCATCCTTTTGAAAGTAAGTATGTCTTCTCTTTCTGGTTCTTTTTTGTCTTTGGTGTTCTACTTTTACTATAATACTTATTTAAAGGTGGTCTTATATTTTTATTTTTTTCTGCTGAAGTTTCAGTGTATCTTTATCCTGAAAAATCAATTTTTATCAACCCTGGAAAACTCTCAGCCAACCACTAGCTTTTAAAATGTTGACTCTCCCTTTTCTAGTCTCTCCTTCTGAAATGCACTAAATATCTATTGGTCCTTTTGATTCTATCTTGTACATTTTTAAACCCCTTTTCTATTTTATGTTTTTCTGTGCCACACTTGAAGTAACCAATCTTCCATCTCATTAATTCTCCCTTTAAGTATGTCTTATTTGCTGTTTAAACCATTCACTAAATTTTAAGGACCATGCTTTTCATTTCTAGACATTTGATTCTTTATTCAACCTGTCTATTCATTTTTCAAAACATTCTGCCCTTTCCCTAATGTTCTGAGCCCCTCTATTAGGTCTTAAATCATTTCAATTATATATTCATTTATAGTATCTATGATATGGTCATGCTATCATTTCAATGCCTTAAGCGTCTAACCCAGCTCTGATTATGTCCTGTTGACTATTCCTATGGTCTCTATGTCTTCTAACTTTTACTAGAACCTCATCTTGAGGCTTGGGTTTTGGGGGTTCCTCTCCAGAGAGACTTTATATTTGCTTCTATAGGCATTCCAGAGGTTATCAGCAACCTGATAGCAATTTTCATGCTGACTTCTCACTTTGGGATTTACAGTACAAATTTAAACTGAAATGTATTATGTGCAAATAATCCTAACATTCAAATAAGACTTTATCTCATATTAATCTTTTTATGGGATTAAAAACATGGACAAAATAGGCCTCTCTTGCCTTCTGAGATGGCCCACACTGTCCATAGCATGTGTATCTCCCTGAATCAAACTGCTTTCACTCTAAAAGAAAGAAAAAAAATAAGACAAAACAAAAAACATGAACAAAATAGGAAAAAAAAAACCTTTTCAGCAGAAGAGGCTGTCAGGACAAAAGTTGAGAAAACCGGCAGTGGGTATTTGCTCTGAGGATCCCAACATTCAATTGTAGCTCCCATCGGAAGGCAGAAGAGAGGTACAGATTCCGACAGTGGAAATGATTCATAGTCCTCTTCTGGATATCTAAAAATTAAACCTTTTGGAGAAAGGAGACAATGATAAATTTCTTTTAATTGCACAAATTATATGTGATACATATTAAAAGAATAATTTAATGGCAAATTTTATGGAAATATTTAGGTATGAAGTTTCAAAATCACTATTTCTCTTGCATATCAGAAATTAAAATAAATGAACAAATTTACCATTTATTTTTACTCATGGACTTACAGTTCATTGTAACATTAATATGTATTAAATACACTAGTTAAAACTATTCAACAGGATCATCAACCTTAATGTATTTTCCGTGCATACTGCCAACATCTTATGGAGAGTGGTAAAGAAACATACAGGAAAATTTGCCAACTTTTTCAGTTATTCTTCTATAAAAGAAAAAAAAATTCAGGGAAGGGACCAGTATTATGAAATAATACCAAAGCAACAGAAATTATCACAGCCCCTAAACTTGTCTAGAGAGAGAAGCAGTGAAAAGACATGCAATATGAAAAGTCAATGAGCCAGAAACCCTTGTGACTAAGCAGAGAGTACGTGAGATTCAGGAAGCAGGAGCAGGGGCACTCTGAGAAGCATAACAAAGCCCCCGTGGTCTAAAGTACCCACATGGCAACAGTTCATTAGCCTCTGACATCTCCAATGCACAGACTACCTTGAAGTTATACACTTGAAAATTAGTAGCAGAATTTTGAGTCAAAATTCAGTCTCCAAAATTCTGTATTCTAAAATATGTGTCTCATATCAAATACCTGAATACATTCACAAAACTTGTTTCTATAAGTTTTTCTTTAAGTAACAATTTCTCCCCACCAAAAAGAAAAAAAAATTTTAAAGAAATCACATATAATCAACACATTACAGCAATAGTAACAGAACATTTTAAAGTGATACTGAAACTTGTTAGTTGTTGCCTTTATTTTTATATTATAAATTAAATGGTTTGATTCATTAGTATGAATATCTTTATGAGGACAACTAAGATTTCTCAAAAATGGATTTGCCTGACTTCCCTGAAGTAAAACTTTATTCCAAAAATTGTGCACAATCAAAAAGTAACTGACACTGCTTTTCACAAAGTATTCCAGTATCTCTTCTATTTACAACTGGAGCATACCTGTATTTTCAGTTTTTATCCCACCATACCAGTGGGATGAAGAGGTCACACTTAAATCTTTACAGCCCTTGACACTTTACTGTGCAGTTAGAATGTGGCGATACATTTCTCAAACACTTCATGGCAGAAAAGTTTCTCAGGCCCTTCTCTCCTCCATTTAGCTGATTCTTTGCAACAAGTGAGAAAGGAAGCAAGTCCACCTTTCATGGCAAGTAACATGTGGTTTCAAATCAGACACACAGAGATAAGAGAAGGAAATATAAGAAGTAAAGATGCAGTTTGACACCCTTCTGATTGTCAAAATATAAAAGCGCAGAGAGTAAGCGGTTTCTCACTCAATTGTTAAGTCTATTAGTGTAGACTAAAATCTTGAATGTTTATTTCACAAATGCTTGCTTGGGATAGAAGTTTCTGTTTAATTAATACGGTATTTTTGTTGGTGAAGGGTAACATTAATATATCTTGTAAGTATGTAATATATTTAAGAAAACTTATGCCTTTACATGCTAAGGTTATAGATAATTCAATTTATGAATAGATGAATTCCAATACTGCATAAGGAAGCATATACTGTCTCTTCTAACCAAATGTTAATGTACAACAAGTCCTACAGTAGCAGAAACCACTTTTTTAAATGTACTTACCAGCTTTATATGCTATTGCATTAGAAGCAGGCACAGACTTCTTATAACACAGAAACACACTGGAACCCCACTGTAAAATATAAATTAGGTTTAAAAAAGACAAAAAGGTGAAAATAAATTGATATTGCTGAATGTCTTCCAAAGATTTTGATTATTCAGGGAAGTCTATTTAAAACATGTTTATCAAACAGACTATGTAGTATACAACACAGCAAAACATGAAATTGAAACACTAAAAAGAGTAAAAAAATATTGCTATAAAAATTAAACTGATGCAAAGGCTGTTTCAAAAAGTTTAAAATTCTGTAATCACCGAGAGGCTGCTTCTATTTGAAAGAGACAACACGAAACAGAGTGGGTGCTAGAGCCCCAACTAGGAAAGACTGGGGTCACTAGGGTTCTATGAAGTCATTCTCTCCAGAGGCAAACCAGTGTTGACTAATAGCCGTGGGTGCATGGGTCATCTCTGCCTATACCTCATTTAAGCTAATATTGGCTTAATTTAAACATTCTTCAAAGTAAATGTAACCCAACAGTAAACTCTAGAGTCATAAAACTATAAATCAAATGTATATGTTGCATTTTCTTCTTCATTAGCATGTAAAACTACAATATTTAAAATAAATATAGGGGAAGTCTTGACCCAGTCTCCTTGCAGTTGTCCTTGACAACACCACTGAAATTCCAAAGCTAATAAAACCTCTATATTAATGTAACATAGGCAATTCAGCAGGTAGCAAAAAAAAAAAAAAACAGATCTGACTTTAAGTATGTATCTTCTGGATGAAATTATTCTAAAACATCAGAGAGCTAAGGATTTTGTAAGTCATTATGAACCATAAAAATTAGAAAGCTAAAAACAATAAAAACAATCATGAAAATATAAACTGAGAGTAAAAAATACACACAATAAAAAACAGGATTCTAAAAAAATATTTTTTCGGTTTTCATATGAAATTTTAGAAATTAAACTTTATTCTTACCATTCCACAATTCAAGTTTTTGTCAACTTTGCAGAAAGTATGAGGAGGGGTTTCTCCTTTACTGGTTACAATAACACAGATATCAGTTACAGCCAAGGAATTCTGGGGTCGAATTAGAGGAGCCCTTCGATAAGTGATAAAGATTCTTTGTGAAGTAGTTGAACTGTTGTTGACATTGGCACAGCGACCGTAAGGTGTGGCTTGTATCACTTCACATCCTGGAATAAGCCTTTCTTTCCCATCATACAGAACTCTGCATGGCAGGGAGGGGAGAAATAAGTAAATAAATAGGTGAACACTTTCAGGTTAAAGCTGGTTTTCTCTTTGAGAACAAAAAAAAATTTATTTTGGTCTTCCCTACTGTTTTCCAAATCTTAATTGCAAACCAAAACTAAAATTACTATACTTTGGGAATTATAAATTTCTTAACTACTATTTTCAACAATAGAATATAGCTTTAGGAAGTACAAATAAGATCAAACAACCTGATTTTTTATTGCTTATAACAAGAAACATATGAAACAAAAAAGGAGCATACAACAAACATCCTTAGGTCAAGTCTCACAAGTTTTATCAAGTATTCAGATGTTTCCACATAATTTTCCTTCCTAATTCCGGTCAAAATTTTACCTTTAAAAATCCTTTGACTGAAACTACAAAACACTGTTTAAAGAAATTAGAAATGAGCTAATAAAGAAAAAGTCATCTCATGGTCATGGATAAGAAGACTTAATATCAGTGAGATGTCAATATTCCCCAAATAGATCTACAGAGTCAACACAATTACTATCTAAATTCTAGCTGCCTGCTTTTGTAAAAAAAGGCAGTATGATCTCAAAGTTTATGTGTAAGTGCAAGGGACCCAGTTATAGGCCAAAGCAATCTGGAAAAAAAGAACAGACTTGGAGGATTCACGCTTTCCCACTTCAAAATGTACTACATATCTGCACATCAGTACAGTGTGGTACTAGTGTAAGGACAGACATACAGATCAATGGAATAGCACAGACAGTCTGCAATCAAACCTGTACACTTACAGTCAATTGATTTAGACAAGACTGGCAAAATAAATCAATGGGAAAAGAAGTCTTTTCAACAAATGGTGCTGGAACAACTGGATATCCAAGTGCTAAAGAATAAAGTTGGATCCCTTCCTTACACTACACAGCAGAAAACCCAAAATGGATCAAACACTTAAATGTAAGAGCTAAAATTCCTAGAAAAATCATAGGAATAAATCTTTGTGGCCTTGAGTTAGACTAAGCCTTCTTGTACATGACACCAAAAACACAAATGACAAAAGAATGATAGATAAACTGGACTTCATTAAAATTAAAACCTTCCATGCTACAACTGATACCATCAAGAAAGTGAAAGGATAACCCACAGAATGTGAGAAAATACTTGTAAATCATACATTTAATTAGGAAATTCTTTACAGAAAATGTAAAGAACACTTACAAATCAATATATTAAAAAAAACACAATTTAAAAATGGACACTGGCAAAAGACTGGCTAAGGATATATGGAAATTCTTGGTACTATCTTTATAATTCTTCTATATAAGTAAAATTATTTAAAAATAAAACATCTTTTTTTAATGGGCAAATAATCTATACAGGTATTTGTCCAAAGAAGATATACAAATGGTCAAAAGTATATAAAAATATGTTCAATATACTATTAGCCATTAGGGAACTGCAAATCAAAACCACAATGAGATATCACTTCACATTCATTGGGATGGCTGGAATAAAAAAGACAGATAATAACAACTTGGTGAGACTGCAGGAAAACTGTAAACTTCATACATTACTGGTCGAAATCAACCACTTCGGAAAATAGTTTGACAGTTCCTCAAAGGGTTAAACATAGAGTTTCCACATGATCCAGCAATTCTACTCCTAGGTATATACCCAAGAGAAATTTTTAAAAAGTGGAAACAATCAAATATCCATCAACTAATACATGGATACACAGAATGTAATACAGCCATGTAACAGAATATCATAGATCACCAAAAGGAAATCAAGTATTGATACAAGGGACAACATGGATGAACCTTGTAAAAATTTTAAGTGAAAGAAGCCAGACAAAAAAGATCACATACCGTATCCATTTACATGAAATGTCCAGAACAGGCATGCCTATAGAGACCCAGAGTAAATTAGGAGTTGCCTAGGGCTAGAGAGTGAGAAGGGGTATTGGAGAGAAACTGCTAAGAGCACGAGGTTTCTTTTAGGGGGATGAAAATGTTCTAAAATTGATTGTGGCTACGTAACTCTGTGAATATACTAAAGACCATTTAATAGTACATTTTACATAGGTGAACTGTATAATATGTGAATCATAGTTCAATTAAGCTGTTAAAGCCCAACTAAATATTAAAATGGCAAATGAGGAAACAGAAAGAACAATGAACACAAAAGAAATCTACTACATGATAAACATGGCATTTCATTACACTAAGGAAAAGATGGACTTTTTAACTTAATAAGCAGAGCTTGAATAAGCAAACTCCCATTTGGGAAAAAAACAAAATTTTTTCCTATACTTCACACTATACACCAGAAAGGGCTCCCAGTGGATCACAGATGTAAATATAAAGAATGAAACCATACTATATTAAAAGAAAACCTAGCAGTGGGAAGTGTTTAATTATGATGCAAAATCTAGAAGCAATAAAAGAGTAAGAAAATAAACTTCATAAAATAAACCTTGCATGACTTAAAAACACCATAAGCCAAGTGAAAAGACAAATTATAAGGGGAGAGGTAAGGGGAGTACCAAAATAAATAAAAGGGATTAAGATGTACAAATTACTAGGTATTAAATAAATAAATGACAAGGCTGTAATGTACAACACAGGGAATATAACCAATATTTTATAACTTTAATGGAATATAATCTATAAAATATTGAATTACTATGTTGTATACCTTAAATTAGCATAATATTGTTAGGTCAACTATATTTCAATATTTTAAAAAAATTATAAACTTGAAGAAAACATTTGATGACTCATTTAACAAAAAGTTTATCCTCTTAATACATAAAAATCTCCTTAAAAAAAAATCAAGGAAAAGGAGAAAAAAACTATTTCTAAAAAAGACATCAACAGTTCACAAAAGAAAAAAGGTTAATGGTCCTTAAACACATGAAGAAATATTTAACCTCATTTAGATTACTCTGACATACCATTTCTCAACCGTGAGACTGACAAAAATTCAAAAACATCATCGCATACTTTGTTGATGGGACTTTGGGGAAAGAAACAGTCACATACGTTGTTGATGGGAATATAAAATGGCACAACCACAATGGAAGGAAGTTTGGTAACATTTAACAAAATAATGCCTTATTTATCTTTTAACCCAGCTAGGATCTACCCGAAAATACACCTTCACAAATGTAAGTATTTGCACAATGTTATTCACCAAAGCAACAGGCCTTGACTCTATACCCCCTCACATTCCAGGTACCCTAAACCATTGCTTCTGGGGGTTTTGTTAAGATACAGGTTCAGGAGGTCTACGGCAGTGCCCGAGATTCTGACTGTCTAACACATCCTCAGGCCCTAAGAACAAGACTGGCCCATGGATTACACTTTGAATGAATAGCAAGGCCATAAATATCACCTCTTGCCTTTAAAGTCAAGCTTTCAAAAAGAAACCTCTATTGCTCCAATTTCCAATCGTTTCTCAACCCTTTCTAATCTGGCTCCTACGTCCAATGACCCGATAAAGTTGTGTGACCCACCATCCCAACTGTACTGACTTGAAGGAAAATCAGATAAGCTAAAAGGGTAGACTTTACTAAAGGAGATAAATGGATGCTACATAAAGGGAATGTAAGATAAGGATAAATCATCCTTTGGCTTTGGAAATTTGAACATATAAGGATCTCAGGATAATTTCATCAGAGCTCTATTCAAATAGTGGAGGAAATGCTAAGCAAAACAAGTGGTAGGCTCAAATGCAGCAGCTAACTTTCTTAACATCTGAACAACTATCAATAGAACAACCAGCAATCAATTGTTAAAAAAAAAAACCAGCATGGGACAGTCAGGGAAATTTGGATACATGACGTTATTCAGAATGTAATCATTTTTAGGTGTGGCATTGTAGTTATCTTAAGAGAGAGAGACATAAAATCAATTGATGTTAATACATCACATTACAAGAATGAAGGAAAAATTCACGCGATCATCTCAATTAATGAAGAAGTGCCATTTGACAAAACCCAACACACTTTCATGATAAAATCTCTCATAAAACCAGGAGTAGAAAGGGTCTTCCTTAACATGATAATCGGCATTTATGAAAAGCCCACAGCTAACATCATACTCCATGGTGAAAAGACTGAAAGCCTTCCACCTAAGATGAGGAATGAGACCAGGATGCCTGCTTTCATCACTGCTATTCAACACCATGCTGTAAATTCTAACCAGGGCAGGGTGGGCGGCAGGGAGCATAAGCAACATGTAAATGAGGGACTAAAACTATCTCTATTTGCAGATGGTATAATCCTATATATTAAAAATCCCCCCAAAATCCACAAGAAAGCTATTAGAGTAAGTTAGCACAGTAGCAGGGTCTAAGATTAACACATAAAGTTAAAATTCAGCTGTGCTTCCATACATCAGCAATGAATAATCCACAAAGAAAATTAAGAAAACAATCCCATTTAGAATAGAATCCGAACAAATAAAATACTTAAGAATAAAATTACACAGATGAAAGACTTATACACATAGGTTGGAAGACTTAGTATTTTAAAGATGGCAATACTTCTCCCAAACTGACATTAATGCAGTCTCCATTAAAATGCAATCTCCATCAAAATTCCAACTGCATACTTTGCATAAATGGATAAATTAATCCCAGATATTTCCCAAGATGCTCTCAAATATCTACGGTTTTACTAACTGATGATAATTATAATAAGCAGAACATCTTCATACATGACATGTATATATGATAAAATACTACAGGTATTCTAAAAGCGTATCTTATTTACAGAAGAGTCAATGTAGACATTTTTGGGGAAAAGGCTTTTACAAAGAATGTTTGTTCTTCATTGGCTGTGGACTAGATACTAAATACCTCATGAAAACTACACTCCTTCTAAACTGTAAATACTTTCCTCCTGGCACTACAAACCACACAGTACAATTGCATTTTCTAAAACAGTAATGCTCCTTTGCCAAATGAGTTCAGGGTTTCACAAAAACTCATCACATAACCCAAGGAGTTCCTTACAAACATGTTCTTTAATTATAGCTTCTTGTTCTTTGATGTATAATTAATAAGCTTATCTGACAAGAACAAACAGAAATGAAATCACATTTCAGGCTCTAATGCCTTCATTTCAATATTCTTTGGAAAGGAAAATGATTCAAGTACAATGCAGAGAAATTCAGTAAGAGTGGACAGAGATATGTAATACCTCACTATACTTGATCTTAAAGTAATCATAATAGAACTATCAAGGATTTTGAGTATCTATTCCCATGCATCTTAAATAAATTTTATTTCCTTCACTAGAGCAAATAAAATAAGTCACTGTACCCAATGTCAGTAAGGGGTGGTTTATCTCTCCCTCTCTTGTAACAGAGGAACAGTTCCGGGCTTTTCAGACTTCCATAGTTCAAGTTTGCTTGAAGAGCTGATGGAGTGGCTTCAACGCAGGTATAACCTTCAGGTACTGTTTCCCCAGCTGATTTGTTAATAACTGCAATGTCTGTAATTGGAGCTTTGGGCCCAGTTGGCTTAGTATCTAAACGATTTATTTCTTGATCCAAAAGAGTAGACGTATCAGTGAGACCAGCCACAACAAAGTAGTCAGTCACTCTTGGCCCTTTGTCTTCTATCATGGCTGCTATTATATTTCCTAGAGGAAAGAAAAAGGGGGGGAAAAAAAAGACATTAATAAAATGCTTTACCAGACTCACTAAAATTAAAATACTCCAGAGTTAACAATGAACAACTAGCACACTTCCCCAGGTGGATTTATAATCAAATTGTTATCATTCTGTAGAGGAAGATTGTCTTCTTTTTTTAAGATATTTTATTTTCTTTTCTTCCATTTTTATTGAGATATAATTGCAGCACTATGTAAGTTTAAGGTATACAGAATAATGATTTGACTTACATACATCATGAAGTGATTACCACAATAATTTTAGTGGACATCCCATACAGATACAAAATTAAAGAAATAGAAAACAAATTTTTTCTTGTGATGAGAACTCCTACGATTTACTCTCTTAACAATTTTCATATATAACATACAGCAGTATTAACTGTATTTATCATTGTGTACATTACACCTCTAGCACTGATTTATCTTACAGCTGGAAATTTGTACCTTTTGACTGCCTTCATCCAATTCCTGCTCCCCCTAGCCCCTGCCTCTGGTAACCACAAATCTGATCTCTTTTTCAATGAGTTTGTTTGTTTGTTTTGAAGTGTAATTGACCTACAACACCATGTTAGCTCCTACTACACAACATAAACACATGGTGATTTGTAATAACTCACTGAGGTTAACATGGATGCCCCATAATTCACTCATCTACTCGTAACTGATGACTATTCGGAAAGCTTCCAAATTCTTCTATTGCAAAAATGTTGCAATTAACATCTTTGTACATATATCTTCAGTTAGTTTACTTTTTATATATATATATTTTTTGTTTATATAAGTATAGTCAGTTTACAATGTTGTATCAATTTCTGGTGTACAGCACAATGCTTCAGTCATATAGAAGCATACATATATTCATTTTCATATTCTTTTTCACCGTAAGTTACTACTAGATATTGAATATAGTTCCCTGTGCTATACAGTAAAAACAACCCACATAAAGTGTACAAATTGGTAAGTTTTCACAAATGTATATACCCATGAAAACATACCACAATCAAGATAGCGAACATATCCATCAACAACCAAAATACTCTCGTACTCCTTCATTATGCCTCCACAAGCAATGAGGGACCTGCTTTCTGTCACTATAGATTAATTTCTATAATTGATATAAATGAAAGCATACAGGATATTATCTTTTTGTCTAGCTTCATTCGCTCACTGTAATTATTCTGAGATTCATCCATGATGTTTATATCAATAGTTCACTCCTTTTATATTCCACTGTTGAATGTACCACAATATGTTTATCCACTGACCTATATTAAGAGACATCTGGGTTATTTTCAGTTTGGAGCTATTGAAAATAAAGCTGTCATGAATACCCATGTATAAGCCTCATGGATATAGGCTTTCATTTTTCTTAGGTAAATTCTAAGATGGTAGGTGTACATAGTTTTAAAAAAGTGCCACATAGTTTTCTAGAATGAGTGTACCATTTTACATTCCTAACATCAGTATATGAGAGTTCCAACTGTTCACCATCTTCTCCAACACTCTATAAGGTCAATCTTTTAAATTAGACTAGATTCTAATATGTCTATACTGATATTTAACTGTAGTTTTAACTTACATCTTCCTAATGACTAGTGATGTTGACTACCTTTTTCACTCTTTTGCTCATTGTTTAACTGGGCTTTTTGTTTACTCATTATAGAGTTTTGAAAGTTCTGTCCTCCAGAGATAAGTCATTTATGAGGTATATGATTTTCAAATATTTTCTCCCAATGTGTGACTTACCTTTTTATTCTCTTATAGTGCCTTTTGAAAAGCAAGTTTTTACTTTTGATCAAGTCCAATTTATCAATCTACTCTTTAATAGATCATGCTTGTAGTATCATATTTAAGAAAACACTGTCGGGGGAAGGTATAGCTCAGTGGTAGAATGCATGCTAAGCATGCACGAGGTCCTGGGTTCAATCCCCAGTGCCGCCATCAAACACACAAATAAATAAATCTAATTACCCTCCCCACAAAACCCAAAAAACTAAAAAAACACTGTCAGTCCAAGGTTACCAAGGTTTTCTCTCATGTTTTCCTCTAAAAACTTAATACTTTAAAATTTTACATTTAGATCTATGATCCATTTTACTTATTTCTTTATATACGGTGTGAGGTATGAATGAAGATTCACTTTTTACATACAGTTATCTAATTTTTCCAGCACCACTGTTGAAAATACTATCTTTACTCTACTTTATTGTTTTTCTACCTTTGTTCAAAAATCAATTCTCCAATATGCATGTGTTTATTTCTGGATTCTCTATTTTGTTCCACTGATCTATTTGTTTATATGTCAGTACCATATGGTTTTAATTACTATAACTTCATAATCAGTCTTGAAATCAGGCAGTATTAGTCTTCAACTCTTTTTCAAAATTGTTTTGACTAGGTCCTGTGCATTTCAGTAAGCATTTTGGAATCAGCTTGTCAATTTCTACCCCTCACCCCCACCAAAAAAGCTTAGTCAGATTTTAACTGGAATTGTGTTGAACCTGTAGGTCAATTAAGGAGAACTAACAGTATTGATTCTTCAAACCTATAAAGAAGGTTTATCTCTGAATTTAGATTGTTTTAAATTTCTCTCATTAGTGTTTTATAGTTTATAACATTTAAGTCTTTCATACCTTTAGTCAGATTTATCCTTAAATACTTAATAATTTATGCTAGTGTAAATGATACTGCTTCCTTCTAAACTCAATTTCCATTTGCGCACTGCTACTATATAAGAATAAAACTGCTTTTTATATATTGACCTTGTATAATGCAATCTTGCTAAAGTTGCTTGTGAGATGCCTTTTCTTTCTTTTTCTTGCCATACTGTACCGACAAGAACATCTAGTACAATGTTCAAGAAAAATGCTGATCAAAGAAGATCTACAAATGACCAATAAGCACAAAAAGACACTGAACGTCATTACTCATAGCAGCATTAGTCACAACAGCCAAAAGGTAGACACAACCCAAGTGTCCATCACCGAACAGATAAACAAAATGTGGGTTATCTATACAATGGAATATTATTAAGCCATAAAAAGATACTAATTTTAATAAATGTTACAACATGGATTAATTTTGAAAACATTATTTTAAGTAAAATAAGCCAGATACAGGACAAAAACTATGTGATTCCACTTATACGAGGTACCTAGAACAGGCAAATTCATAGAGATGGAAAGTAAAATAGAGGTTACCAGGGGCTGATAGAGGGAAGAATGAAGAGTTATTTTAATAGTGAGTATAAGTTTATAGCTGGGATGATGAAAAAGTTTTGGGTATAGACAGTGGAAATGGTTGTACAATACTGCCAATGTATTTAATGCCACTGCATGTAATGACACAAATGATTAAAATGATACTACGTTATGCATATCTTACCACAGTTTTTTTTTTCTTTTAAAGAGAGAATGTATCAATAAACACCTCTCCGTATTAAACTTTTAACTTCTGTTAAGCTACAGAATAAGTTCCTGGAGTCACCTTTCTAGATCAGAGTATATAAATGCCTGCTTATATACTCTGCTATATGTTATCTTCTTAGCTTTAGAAAAGAATATACCAATTTACTATGTCAACAGTAATTTATCTATGGCCCAGTGAGTGTTCAAATTGTATTTAAGTTTATTGTGTTAGAGCAAAAGTGAAGAAAGGTTGTTTCAATACACATTTCTTTGCTTAAAAAGAGGAAGAGAAAGAAATGTTGAGACTAGATATCTTTGTTTTGTTCATAATCTTATGGAGAAAGCATTCAGTCATCTTTTATCAGTAAATATAATAGTTAATTGTACATTTTTCATACATGCTCTTTATCAAGTTAAGGAACTTCCTTTCTATTCCTGAGACTTTTCTCAGGAAGAGATGTTGAATTTTATCACACTTTTCCTCCATCTACTGAGATTATATGGTTTTTCTTTTCCTGTTTTTTAATATAATGAATTATATTGACTAATTTCTGAGGTATTAACCAACCCTATACTTCTGAGATCAATCCCACTTGCTCATGATATATTATCCTTTTCATATATTCTTGGATTCTACTTGCTAAAATTTTGTTTGAAATTTCATATATGTTAATGAGGGACACTGGTCTGTAGTTCTTTGGTTTTTTTTTTTCTTTCTTGTAATGTCTTTATCTGATTTTGTTATCAAAGTAATGCTAGTTTCACAGAATGAGTTGGCAAGAATTTCCTCCCTTCAATTTTCTGGAAGAGTTTGCATAGAACTGTTATTATTTCTTCCTTAAATGTTTGCTAGAATTCACCTGTAAAATCATCTGGGTCTGCAGTTTTCTCTGTGGTAGGTTTTAAACTATAAATTCAATTCCTTTAGTACATACAGGGCAACACAGGTTACCTATTTATTCTTGAGTAAACTTTCACAGTTTGTGTCTGTCTTAGTCCATTCAGGCTGCTATACCAGAATACCATAGGTTGTGTGGCTGATAAACAGTAAATTGATTTCCCAAAGTTCTTCAGGCTGGAAAGTCCAAGATCAAGGCACTGGCAGATTCAGTGTCCAGTGAGCTGGCAATATTCCTAGTTCATAGAAGGCTATCTTTTCACTGTAACTTCACAGGATGGAAGGGAGCCAGGGACCTCTCTAGGGTCTCTTTTAGAAAGACACTAATCCCATATGTGAGGGTTTCACCTGCATGACAGAAGCACCTCCCAAAGCCCCAAACTCCAAACAGCATCACACTGGGGATAAGGTTTTTAACATAAGAATAGGGGGCAGACATTCAGTCTATGGCAGTCTCTCTCAAGGAATTTGTCCATTTCATCTAAATTGTGCAATTTATTGGCATAAAGTTGTTCATAATACTCCCTTACTATCCTTTTAGTATCTGTAGAATATGCAGTAATGTCACATCTCTCATTCTTGTTATCAGCAAGTTTATGTCTTCCCCTTTTTTTTAACCTGATCAGTCTGGCTATAAAATTGCCA